CCGGGAGAAGTTGTGAAGGTAGCGGCTTGANAAATTTTCGTGAGCAACGAGTTTACGAAGCAAGTTCCACCTAGCTCGAGCGATACAGCTCCGCGGATACAACTCGAGCCCCGAACAAGACCCTCCCCCCGTAGTTTCGGCCGCTCTGGCCGGCCGCGGGCCGCTCGTAGAAGCAAACGCTGACTCGTGCACTAGAAATCTGCACAGGAGGCTAAGAAAGAAGCAGTTTTCAGATCCAGAAAGCTAGCAGAAATTTGTCTGAAGTTCGTCAGAAGAAATGAGCCGGTGAAGTTTGTGAGAAAATGTAACGGAGCTTACTTGTTTTTCTGAAAATTTAGACGAAAGTAGCCGGCGCAAAAATTTGAAAATTTAGACGAAAGTAGCCGGCGCAAAAATTTGAGTAGGCGGCGATTTTCGCCGGTAGCCGGCTTGTTTTGAGAAGGCTGCACATGCCCCACGCTGTGCTGAAGTTGTTAGAGAACATGCCCATGCCGTGGGAACAGATCTAACAATGACAGTTGTTTCTATGTTACAGTGCTCTGAAGTACATGCCCCACGCTGTACTGAAGTTGTTAGAGAACATGCCCATGCCGTGGGAACAGATCCGAGACGTGAGCGTGATTTACCACATCACCGGCGCCATCACGTTTGTGAACGAGATTCCCTGGGTCATCGAACCTGTCTACATCGCACAGTGGGGGTGAGTTTTCTGTGTGGGATTGTGTGTGTGTGTGTGTCTATATCATGCAGTGGGAGTAAGTTTTCTGTGTGTGTGTGTTTGTGTGTATGTGTCTGTGTGGGATTGTGTGTGTGTGTGTGTCTACATCACTCAATGGGGTTAAGTTTTCTGTGCCATGCCACCCCAGGAGTGATGTATTCAGTTTTTTGTCTGTGTGTGTTTGTGGTCTTGGTACATTGCTTTGTAGGACTCGGACATATTTTTAGCTCCATGACATGTCATGGGGGTTATATTCATGTCCTATTTTCAATACAAGGAAAGTTCTAACCCATGTCCCCTCCCCCTCCCCCCTGTAGCACCATGTGGATCATGATGCGCCGTGAAAAGCGAGACCGGCGGCACTTCAAGCGGATGCGGTTCCCTCCGTTCGATGACGAGGAGCCCCCGCTGGACTACGCAGACAACGTGCTGGACGTGGAGCCACTGGAGCCCATACAGATGGAGATGGACTCGGAGGAGGACTCCGAGGTCCTCAGCTGGTTCTACGACCACAAACCGCTGTCCGACACCAAGTAAGGGTCATGACCTCTCACCTCTGAACTTTCACCTTTGTTCTATGACATTAACCTTTAAATTTGAACCACACTCTGACCCCTGCTCTGCCTCCTTTTGTCCGTGACCTCAAGCTTAAGAGTCATACCTTTTGACCTTTGCCCTACAAAGTAAGTCATGCCCTCTGACCTCTGCCCTATCACCCCAGAAATCCAACTTCTACATACCTGTGCAGGACAGGTGTAATTGTCCCTGCATCAGTGTTTCCGCCAGACTGCAGCTGAGAGGCCGTCCAGTTGGGAAGGGCCGGGTCGCGAAAATTAATTAACTTAGGGAACACGTCGCGAAAATTAACTGAGGGGGCGGGGCATTTGTTTACACTTGTTTACAAGTTGAAAATGTCCACAAGCAATCCACATTTTTTTGTATTGACATAAAAACACTGTTACAGATGGCAAACGTATCGTCAGGAAATTATACTGTTGCAAAACTTTGCTGCAAAACTCCAAACATCGGCATCATTTAATTATAACCTCCGGTAGCGCCCGCACTAGCCGGATTTTTAATAGTGAAGAGCCTTGCTTCGTTCGTACTCGTACTTCTTCCGTACATTTCCGCTACGAATTACTAGTTAATATCAAGCCAAAAATACATCAAAACATGTAAAGAAACGTCATCTTATCTCTCATACACGAGACAAATTTTGAAAAATAATTGGCTGTATCGTAGCTTTCATTGCTGTTTCATTCAACAAAAATGCTCCTTGATTGTAAAATGATCACTCATCTGTTGTCTCCAGTACAGTGTCAAATGGTAGCGTGATCGTAGCGTGCGAAAAATCGGCGTTAAAAGTCAGAAAATCGCCGGAAAAATAAACGTGCAGCGCACATTCTCAACCTCGCCGGAGAAGGAAATACGCGCCATTTCGTCATTAATATGTAAGTAGCAGCGTGAACCCTACGCTCTGATTGTTGACCTCATATGACCTGCGCTCTGATTGGATAGAGCCATCTTTGCCGGCATAGCTGTAGAATTTGTTTGTTGGCGAAGAGAGTTACACTACGCTACTTTCTACGGTGTTTCTACCGCTAATTAGTAACATTCCACGCCACGAAATTCATTATGAAGAATTTTTGGGAAAATGTATGCATCCATATGCCGATTTGTGGTGCCTTTCGCGTATTCAAGCAAGCCGGAAGTGTTAGCGAACCGCGGCGTGGATAGCGAACTGCGGCGTGGATTTTCATGCAACCCGCCCGCTACAAGACCATCAAAAACAAAAACGTAACTCCCAAAAGAGAATTTTCACATCCGAAATGATTCTGTTCGAGGAAAAATGTTTGTGGATACATTTTACCGGATGGAGACTTGAAAACGGGTTTTAATGAGATTAACGTATGCGAAAGGCGCCGACATCAATTGTTCGTCAGCATGATAACAATAGCAAAACAAACAACGTGTCTTTCTTGCCTTGGACGGCGTCCTCGTCTACAGCAACAAAACAAAGACTGTCAATTTCTCTGATTTTTCCGAGTCTCGAAATTTTTTAAGAGGAATGCCTCTGTCCGAGTTTAGGCCGTCCAAAACGACACCAGGCCGTCATATGACGGGTGGACGGCCCTCTGGCGGAAACACTGCCCTGCATCCTTCATTGTCTGATAGATGACATATAACTACACAGTTGTTCTACCTACCTACCTACACAGGTGTTCTGGCTTGATTAACTGTTGTTTATTTGTTTGTTTGTTTGTTTTAGGTTTGTAAACGGCACGACGTACAAACTGTGGCGGCTGACCCTCCCCATCATGTCCACGCTGTACCGCCTGGCTAACCAGCTGCTGACAGACCTGGTGGATGAGAACTATTTCTACCTGTTCGACCTGAAGTCCTTCTTCACCTCCAAGGCCCTGAACCAGGCCATACCGGGGGGACCCAAGTTTGAACCCCTCATCAGGGACAGTAACCTGCAGTAAGTATAGGAATGGTTTTACTTTATCATAAAGTTCATCTGTGTTGGTAGTTTCATGTTTAAAGTGAAAACTTTAGGTCCAACACAAAGAAGTTCTCTCACCTAGAGCTTTCGACCAGTCACTCTGGTCTTCCTCAGTAGACTGACCCAGTGAAGCTTGTCACGTGACTTCCTTGAAGTGTGCGAAAGCTCTAGATGAGAGAACATTTTATGTTGGATCAAAAGTTTTAACTTTAAACAAGTTTTAACTTCCAACACAGATAAACTTTCGTGACAGTTTGAAATCTTCACTCATTCACTCACTATCCTGGTTTAGATTATTCTGCTGTCATATTCATGTTTACATATTGTTTTCGCCCTGTTTCTGAACCTCTTCTCATCCAAACAAATAAGGTCAATGACCTGGACCAGACAGGCTGTCACCATGATAACTGGTGCTGTAGCAGACACCCTGTGGTGTTGGGTTACATTATGTAGCAAGTGGCAGGACAGAGTTGGAGGGGCTGGTCCCACATATTATGAATGTGTTCGAAATTAAGACTAAACAGTTGTTTGTGGACACTTTACTAAACTGTCCTCTTTACATTGCTGTGGTGTACATTTTTACATTGATGTTTGTGAAACTAAACATTTGTTTTCCCTCCTGCTTTTTGCTAATTAGAGATGAGGACTGGAACGAGTTTAACGACATCAACAAGATCATCATACGGCAGCCAATCCGTACAGAGTACAAGATTGCCTTCCCCTACCTGTACAACAACCTGCCCTACCAGGTTCACCTCTCATGGTAAGTACTGTACAACAACCCGTACAACAACCTATACAACAACCTGTACAACAACCTGCCCTACCAGGTCCGCCTCTCATGGTAGGAATTTTGTGTGTTACTGATGGTTGTTGTGTATAACTATGTGTATATTTGTTTATAGTTTTGACCTGTTCAAGATTTATACAGGAACTTGGGCTAAATATGACACTGCTATGTTAAATATGTTCCTCATCCTCTCATGTGTGTTTCAGGTACCACATCCCCAACGTGGTGTTTATAAAGACAGAGGACCCTGATCTGCCAGCGTTCTACTTCGACCCCCTCATCAACCCCATCGCTCACAGGCATTCTGTCAAGGTAGGAGATAACGGTTTAGTTTAAATCTTTCACAATCTTACATTTCTGTAGCATCATTGTTATGAGTCAATGGAGGTTAGACATACAGGTAAAAAGATGCACCAAAAAAAAATATTTACTTAAGCAACTGGATATGATTTTGAAAACTGTATTTCGAGAAACGGTCATTCCAAAACCATATCCAGTTGCTTGAGTAACTGTTTCTTGACACATCATGTTATGGTCTTTTTTTTTAAAGTTTCTACAACACTGTGTCCTCTGATACAAACTGACCAATGCTGGGTATGATCAAGTCAAACCGACCAATACAAATCGAAATGACCAATCTTGCGCATGCTTCAATTCAAACTGAACAATCGCGCGCTTCCTGCACAGTCCTGGGAGCCCCTGCTGGACGATAATGAGGAATTTGTTTATCTTATTCAAACCGACCAATCCTGTGCATGTTACAAATGAAACTGATCAATCCTGCACATGCTTCAAATCAAACTGACCAATCACGTGCATGCTACAAATCAAACTGACCAATCCTGCGCATGCTACAAATCAAACTGACCAATCCTGTGGATGCTTCAATTCAAACTGACCAATCCTGCACATGCTTCAATTCAAACTGACCAATCCCGTTCTCCCTGCACAGTCCTGGGAGCCCCTGCCGGATGATGATGAGGAGTTTGAGCTGCCGGAGTTTGTCCAGCCGTTCCTCCAGGACAGTCCGCTCTACACCGACAACACGGCCAACGGGATCGCTCTACTCTGGGCCCCCAGACCCTTCCATCTGCGGTCTGGCCGAACGCGCAGGGCGGTGGACATCCCACTGGTCAAGTGCTGGTGAGATGTTTGTTAATTTTATTCACACGTATTTAAAGAGCTTTGCTTTGGGCCCTCTAACCCAAAAAAAATCTGACGGGCTGTCTACATCCCACTGGTGAAGTGCTGGTGAGGGTTTTTAAAATCATTTCTAATCTTTTGCACTGCAATCATACCTTCAATAAGACATCTGGGGCTGCATGGTTCCCATTTAGAACCTTTTAGTGTGTCACTCAAACCAGTTTCGATGATGTGTCTTCTTCATTAGCTAATGCTTAATATGTTTTAGAATTTGATCTCTAGTTCTGTCCAAAAGCTTTGTACAAATCAATTCAATGCCTAGCATTCTGCTTGCTCATTTGATGATAAGATGATGAAAATAAAACTGGTAGCCCAAAAGTTAATGTTATTCCCCATTTTTTTACAGGTATCGTGAGCACTGTCCAGCCGGCATGCCTGTGAAGGTTCGAGTGTCGTACCAGAAACTGCTGAAGTATTACGTACTCAACGCTCTCAAACACAAACCTCCCAAGGCACAGAAGAAACGGTGAGTTAAACTATTTTAATAATTTTTTTTTCAAATAAACCCTGCACCTTTAGTCGTAACACACATCTGAATACAAGCTTCATAAGACAACACTGTAAAGTTTGAACCACTCACACCGGGAAGGACCTCTACACTTTTCGATAAATGCGGAGGGTTCTTTAGTGTGCTTAAAATTTGGCTCTCCTCAAACCCACTGGACCTCAAGCTTTACATCCCACCCCTAACTGAATCTAGGTACTCATTTTCACCAGTCGAGTGCCTTCACAGATCTGTTAGTTGTTTTTTTTTTATTCTTTAAGAAATGTGCTTGATGTTAAATACATATTCTTAGCATCAAAGTGTCTGAAATATAATTAAATTGTTGTTGTAGAAATGAAACATTTTTAGTTTTTGCTGACATTCAACGTGTTTTATTTTATATGGTGCTGCTCCCCAAAAATTTTTGTGCACCTAATTTTTTGTTGGGTACACCAGTGCACTATTCCCAAAAATGAATTTCAAGCCCTGTCTTAATTTGTTTTCCTTTCCTTCCAGGTACCTGTTCCGCTCCTTCAAGGCGACCAAGTTCTTCCAGTCGACGACGTTAGACTGGGTGGAGGCTGGACTGCAGGTGTGCAGACAGGGGTATAACATGCTGAACCTGCTCATACACAGGAAGAACCTCAACTACCTGCATCTGGACTACAACTTCAACCTCAAACCTGTCAAGACGCTGACTACCAAGGTCAGGAAAGCTTTTTCTATCTATTTATTGGTTTGGTTGCAGGCCTCCAAGTTAACTTTTCTTCTAATGTTCTAGCCCTACCCCAAAAATGAATCTCAATTGTCCCAAAATGAGGATGAACTGTCCCAACCCGTTTTTGATAAGTATTGTACAACTTAAACTTATTCCTGTCTTCAATGTCCTGCAAAATGCTTGTTACTGTTACTCATTGAAGCTGGTGGGAATATGCAGAATCAGCTGCAAGAAATTCACAAAAGCTAAACCTTTCATGGGGGTACAAAATCTTTGATTTCTTATTGATAGTTTGTTTCTTTATTATTCCCAGAGGCATAGAATTGTTCCTTCTGTCCCTGACTGTAGAGCAAGATGAGTGCTGATGCTGTCATGTCTATATTGTGTAATGTGTAGAGCTGTGTACCGGTACGCAGTACCGATACTGTACCGGAAAAATTGATTAGGTACAGGTCCAAAATACCTAATCCCTCAGTACCGGTACTGTACCTAAACAATTTCACACCAATTTTATGCCTATTTGTGACCTCAAATGTTTAAATAGCTGGTTAACAATGGGTGCCTGTGTAAGGACAGTGTGTTCATGAAAACAAAAACATCTTAGTTTTGCCTATATTTTATCTGAGCATTCGCCATAAACAAAGAATAAACCTTAACTATCAAGTTTATTTATGTTTTTTTGTTATTGAAGGAGTTCAGAAGAGCATATAAATTGGTCGAATTGTTCAGGTACAGGTTCAGGTCCGGACCTGTACCTAAACCTGTGTACCTGTACCTGTACCTAAAATTTGTTTAGGTACACAGCTCTAGTAATGTGTATATTTACTGTTTTAACAGGAGAGGAAGAAGTCGAGGTTTGGAAACGCGTTCCACCTGTGTCGTGAGATTCTGCGTCTGACGAAGCTCATCATCGATTCTCACGTGCAGTATCGCCTGGGCAACGTCGACGCCTTCCAGGTGAGAAAAACAAAAAAGCCAACATTAAAATACATTTAGCAAATGCATAAATGTTTACTTTCACCTGGTCTAGCTTGCTAAACTGCTGCTCTGTCTATTCTTACTCATAGTCATATACACATCATGGTGACCGGCCCCTCCAACTCTGTCTTGCTACTTGCTACATAATGTAATCCAACACCACAAGGTGTCTGCTACAGTACCTGAGTTATACAAGGATTTAGTACTTACCTTTACCTTTAGTATTAGTACTTACACAACCTAAAATAGCAAATCTTTGGTAAAGATTGTTTGAAAAATTCATTAATGAATAATTAAGTCAAACTTACTGTTCTCTCCTGTTCTTTCCCACATTCTTAGTTGTCAGACGGTCTGCAGTACATATTTGCCCACGTTGGCCAGCTGACAGGAATGTACAGGTACAAGTACAAGCTGATGAGGCAGATTCGCATGTGTAAGGACCTCAAACATCTCATCTACTACAGGTTCAACACTGTGAGTATACGTTTGTTTGTTTATGCGTTTGTTTGTTTGTTTGTTGAACAGCTGACTGGTAGGTACAGATGTCTTTGTCACCTCCATGTGTGAAAGTTTTGTTTTGTATACTTTTAAGCCATTGTGAAGAATTAAAATTTTATGACTGTACACAACAAACTAGCTTGATAACAAGCACTCAATCAAAACTCTGATACTTGTCAAGTTGAAATCACAGGCACAGATGAACTTTGATTTAGATACTTACTCATTGTTAGCCATTGAATACCCCCCTCCCCACCCCAAGCATGGTCTTCTCACAGAGTTCAGTGGGAAAAGTGGACTCTAGGCACCTGGATGGCAAACAAACAAACTGGGCACAAGAACTTTGCAGTCAAAGCGGAAATGTGTTAAACATTTCTACCCTGCCCCCCTCCCCCTTCTGTAGGGACCAGTAGGGAAAGGTCCAGGCTGTGGGTTCTGGGCTCCAGGCTGGAGGGTGTGGATATTCTTCATGCGAGGCATCACTCCTCTACTCGAGCGCTGGCTGGGAAACCTGCTCTCCAGACAGTTCGAGGGACGACACTCCAAGGGCGTGGCCAAGACGGTTACTAAGCAACGCGTGGAGAGCCACTTTGACCTGGAGCTGAGGGCATCGGTAGGGCTGGACTTCTGTAACATAAGAGTGTGGAATAGGTCTACAAGCTCTTTAGTAGTTTATATTTTCTTTATCCTATTACTGTAATTCCATTCAATATTGCGGTTGGAAATTATAGCAGTGGGAGGAAAATGATCCAGCTCACGGCACTTAATTTTAGCGGTGTGGACAAGGCAAATGATCAAAAGTGTACAGATACAATGTATTACGGTACTGAAATTTAAGCGATAAAAAAAGTAACAGCTAAATCAGCTATAATTGAGTGACAGTTAACAAATCAAGAATTACAGTAGGTCTACAAGCTCTTTAGTAGTTTATATATTCTTTATTCTATAATTATTATTTTTTAGGTAAAAAGCAAATATAAAGTCAACACATGGAAGGAACACAAGAGCACATAGAAAATATCATTTGTAAATGTAGAATGATTGACAGCTGTAACCTCCGACCTTTGCCCTCAGTAGGTTGATTGACAGCTGTAACCCCTGCCCTTTGCCCCAGGTGATGCATGACATCCTGGACATGATGCCTGAGGGGATTAAACAGAACAAGGCCAGGACCATCCTGCAGCACCTGAGCGAGGCATGGAGGTGCTGGAAGGCTAACATCCCATGGAAGGTTCCCGGTGAGTTTGTTATTTTTAACTTCGCAGAAGGAAAACTTGCAGTTTCTCCTCTGTTTCTTCTCCTCTAAACAAATACGGTGAGTTTTTTTGTTCTGTTTCGTGATTTCTTCTTCTTCACCAAACAAATAAGGTCAATGACCTGGACAAGGCAGCTGTCACCATGGTAACTGGTGCAGACACCCTGTAGTATTGGGTAACATTATGTAGCAAGTGGCAGGACAGAGTTGGAGGGGCTGGTCGCCATATATGATATTGAAACACAAAATGTTAAATGTTACAATCATGTTAAGCATGAATAAACATAGTTTTATACAAGAGAACTGCTACTCAAGCAACTGGATAAATTGATATTTTGTCTGTTCCCAGGCCTGCCGACTCCGATAGAGAACATGATCCTTCGGTATGTGAAGATGAAGGCCGACTGGTGGACAAACACAGCGCACTACAACAGGGAGCGAATCAGGCGAGGTGCGACAGTTGACAAGACTGTCTGCAAGAAGAACCTGGGCCGGCTGACCAGGCTGTACCTGAAGGCAGAGCAGGAGAGACAGCACAACTACCTGAAGGTAACACATGCATGGGTCTCATCACAATGCTGTACCTTACACTGCTGCCCCCTCCCCAAAAGATGGTGTAGGCTCAATTTTCTTGCCCCTCTCCCCCTAACATGACCGTACACTGCTCTCCTGCCCACCTCCCCCCAATATGACCTTACACTGTTCTAACTTGACCTTACACTGTTCTAACATGACCATACACTGTTCTTGCCCCCCTCCCCCTGGCATGACCTTGCACTGTTCTAAGTAATCTAACATGACCTTACACTGTTCTCCTGCCCCCCTCCCCCATAATATGACCTTGCACTGTTCTAACATGACCTTACACTGTTCTCCTGCCCCCCTCCCCCTAACATGACCTTGCACCGTTCTCCTAACATGACCTTACTCTGTTCTTGCCCCCCTCCCCCTATATGACCTTAGTAATAAAACTTTCTGCCCCCCTCCCACAGGATGGCCCTTACATCACAGCTGAGGAGGCGGTTGCCATCTACACGACGACCGTCCATTGGCTGGAGAGCCGGCGCTTCTCCCCCATCCCGTTCCCGCCGCTCTCGTACAAACACGACACCAAGCTGCTCATCCTCGCGCTCGAGAGGCTCAAGGAGGCCTACAGGTGGGTTCTTGGGGGGTGACCTTGACCTTGGATTGTCTGAACATACTTCGTAGTCTGACCTTGGATTAGATTTGCTTTGTGTTTGATCTTGGACAAGTTTTCTTTAAATTTCTCTTCAATTTGTCCTTGCGTTGAGTTTGACCTTGGCTTCACTCAACTCGACTCAGATGTGACCTTGTCTTGGGTTTGACCTTGATGTAAGTTTGACCTTGGCCTATCGTTGCTCTCTCAAGTCTGAGACATCTAGCATTAAAAGATCGGATTTCATGGGCCTGATTTTCTTTTTTAAGTCTAGCATGAGAAAATTTTTTTATAATTTAGATTTTTTGTGACAGGGTAAATATTGAACTTGAGGTTGATGTTGTTTTTTTCCCGCACAGTGTGAAAAGCCGTCTGAACCAGTCCCAGCGCGAGGAGCTGGGTCTGATCGAGCAGGCGTATGACAACCCTCACGAGGCGCTCAGTCGGATCAAACGTCACCTTCTGACTCAGAGGGCCTTCAAGGAGGTGGGTCTGAAGTTCCTTTAGTGCCTTTCTCAGGCCGGGACACAATGTCAAGCCAGGAATACAAGGGATTGAACCTGTGGCCTCTCGATCTGGTGTTCATAGCTAAGCTACTTGGCCAATCTTTGCCACATAACGAACATTAATGTGCTAATAGTTCTAGGTGGGAGTTTGGAGTTTAGTAAGACATTTTGAAAGTTCATCTGTGTTTTTAGAAGTCATTTTGAAGCAACTTTGGTTCAACAGCAGGGCTTTAGCCAGCTCGAAATTTTTTACCGTCAACCCCAGGTCAACCCAATTCGCGAAAAAAAATACCGTCAACGCGAAAAAAAAATTCCGTCAATGATTACTTTTAAAGAATGTCTTTCACGATCCGGTGATCGACATCACGCCCTCCCGCACACTTAATGCATTCGGTGTTCTAAATACCCGTCAAGATTGCAGAATAAAAAAAAAACTACACAATCTGCAATTTTGCAGAATGAAAAAAAAACTACAGTTCTCACAAGGAGACAACACGCAATGAATAATTCGCTATTCCCTTTGTTTTGATCCGCTCAAATCCCGCCGCGATTCAAGCCGCGGCCATGCAAATGAACCTACTCATGACGTCACAGCCTCCGATTTCCACCGAGCCGGGC